CTTCTGTCCCCTGCAGGGAACTTATTACACCCCTGTATAATAAGGACTAGAATCACGGTCACTAGTGCAAGAAAATACCTTTGAGATCATACTCCATCTGCCTGCAGGGACCTGATATAATCTCCTGATAAGAATATACCAGACATTAAGCTGATACTACAGCTGCTCTTGTCTCTTCTCTAATTTAGTGGGATTTGGGCATGCAGACCAGAACGGGAAGAGACATTTTTTTCTAAGTGCAGCAATGCGTACTTATTCGGAACAGTTCAATCCTACTCAAAACCAGGACTCCATACCTGTCCCAACCTAAAATTCAACAGGATGATATAATAGCTTATTGTATAATGCAAGCACAGACTGCCCAACTAATAACATCTATAAAATTAGAGGAGATTTTTGTCATTTATGCACTGAGGAATAAATGGGAGAAAATTGTAGTTTATTGTCATATACGGGAGAAAGTTGTAGTTTATTGTCATGTACAGGTTATGGCATATATTATTTATAGCCTGCTGTACTACATAATGTATAGCTATAAATATAACATGCTATAAATGTTATAAATATTTGTATACATGTGAAAATCCCCGAATTATTTGAGTTTTCAGTTGTGGAAAAAGCAACCTCCAAATTTACAGGTTTATTTTTTTTTTTCCCTTTTTCTAACAAACAGAAAAAAATGCTGTCTGTTTTTCACTAGCAATTTTGGAGAAAGAAAGGTGGGGCAAAACCCAAGGCAATCTTGAAATACATGTCATGATAGAGAAAAATTAGAAAGCAGCAAGATGCTGAACTGCAGAAGTGTTAGGGAAGCTGATACTATTTTTCATTCATGGTCTCAAATGCTTGTAGCCCGTTTTTGGCAGACTTAGGGTTTGCCCAAAGATGTTCAGCAAATAAATGATGATCTATGTTGATGAAAGGAAACATCAAGCAATTCACTGCAGCATGATGTCAGGCTTCAGGTGGAGGAAGCACTGTGAAAACTCTCTGTTTCTAAACAAAACAATATTCCAGGTAAAATGACAACTTTTTTGAGGTGATAACTTCATATAACTTTCAATGGAGTGGCTTCAGAGTAAATGTGTCAGTTAGGGGTGTCGTCATGAGCAATAGTACAGGGGACACAACACTCGTACCTGTGGAGCACTAATACTCACCATTCCTATTTCCTCCTAAGCATCAAAGATGAGAGTTTTTGTGCTTCTGGCTTCCTGGAGGATCAAAAGGGAATTTTCTTTATTCACTCGACCAGAGGCAAAGCAGGCTGTTCTCTGTGAAAGATTTCTCATGTTGCCTTTGTCACTGACAGCCATTAATGGAAATGTCATGATCAAATGGAAATCAGCTGTAGCTGATGTTGGTCGCTATGTTATTTTGATGAAATAAGAAAAATAATCAGTGAAGGGCCAAAAGCCAGGTAAGATGAGCACCTGCATTTCCAGCTGGCTTGAGTGGGAACTCGAGGTTGGTGGGGATTTTTTTGAAAATTGCACTGTAAAAGAGAGAGAAGAGGGATTGTGCCCTAAAAATCACTGCCACTGAGGTTAGCTCAAATTTTGGGTTTGGGTGAGAGCAGATCTGAGTAGAGAGTCCTCTGTTTCAGCCCCGATTTGTGTAGTACCAGGTACCCACAGTCTCTTAAGTCAGTCGTGTTGTTCCTGAAAAACTGAACGGCCGCTGGATCAGGTCCTGGGTTATCGTTGCATTCTAGAGGGTATTTGCTGAAGTGGTCAGTACAGTAAGCTCAGTTTTGATGCCATCGCATTTTATTTGCACTAAACTAAAACAACTGTTTGCAGTTAGCACACGTAAAACGAACAGTAACAAAAATGCAGCCTGCCCTTCCAGCTCTACACATACTCAATGCAAAGAGTTCCCCAAGCTCTGGTGGTTCTCCCTCCCTGTGCTCTAACTAAAACATCCAAAATAACTGATCTGGGTGAAGACCGAGCAAAAAAAAAAAAGTTTATCATTCCCCAAATGTTTCTGATGGGCAGCAGCGACTGGGTGATGGAAGAGAAACGTTGCTCCCGGTGCGTGTGCAGGCAGGGCTCTCGCCGCTGCGGAGCTGATCTAAGCACAATGTTTCAGGGAGGCGAGGGCCGGGCGATGGCTGTTGCTGCACTGGGACAGGATGAGGTGGAGAGCTGGTTTTTTACCAGGACTGGGATCCAGGGCAGCTGGCCCACCCTCCCATTGGGAAGAGTGAACAGGGAGCTTGTAAAATACACAGACCAAATGGAAATGACCCCTGTTGACTGAAACCAGCTGCATGTCAGACCTCTCACTGTCTCTCTTGATTTGCTATCTCAAATAAATGGATGTGGTAGAAGGGGCTATGGAAAGAAAACAAAATAATTTATTCTCCTTGAAGTCGTGCCACACTAATAAGCCACAGTTTTTACAGCTGAAAAAAAAAATGTTTATTCGCAGATTAAGTTTTTCCCTCCTTTTTTTTTTTTCGGCTTTATGAGTCTGCAGTTTGGAATAAGACATGCTGTAGTTCAGCTTCAGAGACCTTTGACAAATATAACATTGGTAGATTTTGTTACATATTCATCACATAAAACTGCTGGCTAATGAGAGCTTGTTTTTTTTGCATTTTGATTCAGAAAACAAAGTAACGACAACTTTTGTTGGTGCTTTGGCTTAGATCTGCCTGCTGGCTCAATCCTGTGAAAAAGGTCATAATGAGTTTTGAAGAAGATGTGCAGAATTACTCGACTTATTCGTGTGTTGTTTTCCATATTTTTCATAATACACTGCTGGATAACACCAGTTATTCTGAGCACTGTGAAGAGCTGCTTGCAGTAAGCAGGGTAGCACCTGAATTTGGAAATGTTAAGGACAATAGCTGATTAAATCCCCCATTTTATACCCAGGATGGTTTACTGCTATTGGTGTTAGACTGAGCTCTGTTCTCCGTTTAGATATAGGGAAGGAGGTATTTAACCTTGCTGCCGTAGTTGCCTCAATCTCTTTTTGAGAAGATTGTCAAGTTGTGACACATGGCATAGTGCCGTCATAGCTTGGTGGGCTTTTTTAAGGCAACTTCTTAAAAGTCATCTGTCTAGTTTTCCTTCATGCAAACTGAGGCACTGCTGTGTTTTGCAAATGTATCCTTTTTTAAAAAGTCTTGTTCAGCCAATTGATCGCTAGTGAAATTAGCCACTAAATTTGGATTAATGGTTCTATTAGAGTGTCTTGGTGGAATGACCTTCATGAAGTCTGCAAAAGCACATAGAATACCAAAATTTGAGGGTGATATTTGATAATTGACCCTATTTACTTATTTTTGCTTTCCACAACCTTTTTTTCTCTAATATTTTTCTTTTTTTTTTCTCCTTAAGAATTTATTTCTTCCTCACTTGAGGGTGCACAAACACAGTAGTGTAGCAGCTTTGAACATAGGAGCCTTTACCTGTGGCCTTGCAGTGGAGTTGCACAGACACATGTTATTTCAATATAAAGTAGATAGAAATTCCTGTCTACAGTTTCTGAGTGTCCTGGCAGTCACTGTCTTTGCTTTAAAGACAAAACCAAAATGTATTCAGTCTGGTCATTGCTCCTCCACTGGAAGATTTTAGCCATGTTGGCTTGAAGGATCTTCTTACCATCGTCTGTGATCTGCAGGTATCTGCTATGGGGAAAGGCACACCTCTGTTCCTCATACCACTGCTGTTTCTTGCTGGCTGTCTATAGGTGGCATCTCTTACTGATGAGCTATCTGCTATTCATTATGTCCTCTGGTTGGATAATGAATTATGAGCTAGTTGATGGGTGGTTATTCACAGGCTAGTGTGGCATCAAGTGATACCATGGACCTCCTTCCTTTAATTTTTATCTTACTATTTTCTGCTGAATAATTACTTGCATCAGTGAGGGTAAACCAAGCTTACACTGACTACTTAAAAAATGTAAAGAAGTCTTGGGTGCCTGCCTGTAAAGAATGTTCTGTGTTAAGCAAGATGAACCATGGATACCAAGGAGGTTTCTGTGGGTTTGGAAGGAACCCTGCTCCTAGCTGACATATGTGAGGCTCTGCCTTTGGCACACTCTTCTAGGACGCTGGTAATTTCAGTAGAGGGTAGGATGACACCAGCAAGGTGCCTGTATGCCAGTACAGCTCACAGCTTTGGGATGACCCTGTAATTGCGCTGAAAGGGAACATTTTTTTCTTTGTGTTTTAGGTATAGCTTTAGTACACAAGGGCCCTATCCTGCAGTCCAAAATGTGGCAGCCCTTCCCATTGCCCTTTGGTGGTATTCAGGTAAAAATGAACAAATTCCATTGATATTAAGGAGAGTTTTGCCCTGGTCGGAAATCCACGGCCTAATCCAGTGACAGTACACAACATGAGGAGTACAAAACGGAGAGTGGGATTAGCGTGCAGTAACAACACAGCAGGCATTTGAACTTTCCAGCAAAGAAAGAGGGTCAGGTTGAGGCCACCCTCCTTATTTTCCTGTCTTTCTGATGAAAGACCAGGTTGGGTGCTAGTATAACTGTAGGATATATTTGAGTCTGAATTTGGAAAACATGTCGATGCAATGTATTTATCAATGAGTTTTTAAAATAATATGTGTAGTAAAAACAATAGGGGAACTTTGTTTCACCTTTATCTTAATCAGACTTTCCTTTTTAAAAGTAGCAAGAATACAAGCTTGATGAAGCTACCACTGCTGAGCTGGCCAAAGAGAAAAGGATGAGAACCAGTTATTTTTTCTCAGCAGCACAGTAGGCAATGTGTAACTGTTAAATTTAAATTCAGACATTTATATCTTTACATATTTACAGTGTAAAACTAGATCAGAGCCCAAGAATGTTCTTTCTCAAACTCAAATAAGATGCCTTTTATCAAGGAAAGAGCAAGAAAAAACCCTAAATAAATCTCAAAACACAGGACAAGGCACCGTTTCTACAACAGCAAAAATCTTACTCTGATTGCTCAGGTCATCATGTATGAATGTTGAATTTTCTGCCTTGTTCTGTTCCAGAGATTGAAGGCAGCGCTGACTCATCATCCTGCTGCCATGTCGAATGGGAATATGAACACCATGGGCCACATGATGGAAATGATGAGCTCGCGGCAGGACCAGACGCCACACCATCATATGCACTCACATCCTCATCAGCACCAGACGCTGCCACCTCATCACTCATACCCGCATCAGCACCAGCATCCGGCGCACCATCCTCATCCTCAGCCTCACCACCAGCAGAATCATCCCCACCACCATTCCCACTCGCACCTTCACGCGCACCCGGCACATCACCAGACCTCGCCGCACCCGCCGCTGCACTCCGGCGGACAAGCACAGGTAGAGCTTCATGCCGTGCTGCATTGCTGAGCTTTGCTGTTTTGTGGAGTTAAAGTCTGATCCCTGTATTGTTTCTTCTTGCACACATGTCTCATCAAATACAAGCCCCTCAGGCTACTCATAAATGTCTGCTGCTGGTGGTGGAGAAGCACAAATGTTATTCAGAAAACGGAGTGAAGCAACAACTTGTTTTGCTGCTTAATTTGCTAGACATTTGTAATATCTTACTTTATAAGGAGCTCCAAGGTTTTTCAGTGCTCTGAGCTCTGAATATTGCCACATATTATGGATGAGGTTTATTATGGAGATTAGCATGTTGTATATGTTGCTTAATGTGTTTGAACCTAAACTTCTCAGGCCAAAATTGAAAGAGCTGTATGTGTTCTACCTACAGAAATACATAACACAATCTGTAGTGAAGTGAAATGGCACTTCATGTGCACACTCAAAGCAAGAAGTGTGTGTAAATAAATAACTTCACCAAACTTAATGAACTATTTATTTCCTATCAAAACTGGAGATAGTAGAGGTAGTTTTAAGGTAAGATACACTGACTTAGAGGAAAAGGAAAAAAGATCCAGATGCTGCAAAGGGGATAGCTCCTCCCCAGCTGTGGAGTATGAGAGAAAGCCAAGATTAGCTGAGTGCAGGCGATAGTTGGTGGATGTTGTGTCAGGAGAAAAAGACGATGAAGCTAGTGCAAGGAGAAAGATTTAAACCGGGAAGGCAATTTTGAATTGGGTTCAGGTGATGAGAACTCAGTGAATGTCTCCATCAAATGAGGTGGAGGTCTCCATTTTTGAACCAGATATATTGGCTTCAGCAATTTAGATAATTCAAGATCTGAACGGAATGCTTCTTGAACTAATGAACTAGTGAGCATGGGCTTCAGCAGCCATTTTTAAGAGGAATTCTATTAATGTCTTAAGATGATAGGCTTCTTCATCAGGATCGCACATGAAAAATAAAGCTCTGGGGGCAGTGACTGTAACATGTCATGTCAGGTCAGGGGAGCAAATTTAAGGAGGACAAATGGGCAGTGCATAGACTGAGGACACAGAGGAGTGCCAGCCATAAGAAGTTCAATCTGTGAAGTATTGTGTTGCTTGCAAATGCCTTTCAGGCAAGCTCTTAGTAAACATTAAAGAAAATGAGAGGATTTGGCTGACATCCCAGTGTCCCACAACATTAACTATTTACTAACATCTAGCTTTCTTATTGTAGAGGCTGCAAGCACATGGGATTTCCCTAAAGCATTTGCTAATGTAAAATGAATTGTCAGCTTTAGAGAAACAGTCTAAATAAGAGAGCAGCAGACTCCCCTGTGAGAAGATGTCCGCAGCTTTCCTAAGTTTAGTTCAGTTTTTACTTTGTGAATTCAATTATTTTCCCATCTGTTAAATGAGTTATTTTCCTTGGAGTTGTTTAAAAACTCCAATAAAAAGACATTATCTCATAACAGAGAACCCAAAAGTAACCTGATGGCTGTCTTGGAGATCCGTGACAGAGTAAGGATGAATTTGTGCTTAGCAGACTGAAGACTCCACGGATGACATGGAGGAGGTCACTTAACCTCTCTCAGGCTTTTAAAACGAGGGTAATAGTTCTGACACCTCATCGAGGGGTAGGGAGGATAAACATGTTCATGCAGGTGATGGAGTCAGATACCACACTATAGAGCACCACTGCAAAACATCCATATTACCACTTTTAACAGGTGAGGAGAAGGCATGGGTACAAGATAAAACAAACCTCCCAGTTTTAAGGATAAGAGCAACGAGTTAGTGCACTACGGCTGCCTCTTCCTCTTAACTTCTGTGCTGCTGAAGCTGGTTTTGAGTCATAGAATCATAGAATCATCGTATGGTTTGGGTTGGAAGGGACCTCCTAGATCATCTAGTTCCAACCCCCCTGCCATGGGCAGGGACACCTTCCCACTAGACCAGGTTGCTCAAAGCCCCGTCCAACCTGGCCTTGAACCCTTCCCTGGAGGAGGCATCCACAGCTTCTTTGGGCAACTTGTTCCGGTGCCTGACGACCCTCAGTGTAAAGAATTTCTTCCTAATATCTAATCTAAATCTACCCTCTTTCAGTTTAGAACCATTACCCCTCATCCTATTACTACAGTCCCTGATAAGGAGTCCCTCCCCAGCTTTCCTGTAGACCCTCTTTAAGTACTGGAAGGCTGCAATAAGGTCTCCCTGGAGCCTTCTCTTCTCCAGGCTGAACAACCCCAGCTCTCTCAGTCTGTCCTCATATGTGAGGCGCTCCAGCTCCCTGTTCATCTTTGTGGCCCTCCTCTGGACCCTCTGGACCTTCTCGAGCAGGTCCATGTCTTTCTTATGCTTATTCTAGTTAGAACAGCTTTTATTCTCTGTTAGCTAGGCACCCCAAAAGACTCGCAGTCAGGCAAGAAGAGATACAGACACCAGGGTAGGTGGGCTGACTGGCAGCCACCAAGCTGTGTCAGATCCACCCTGTGTCCCAGCATGTCACTGGAGTCCATGGGCCCATCAGGGATCAAGGAGGTCTTCACCTTGTCCATAGGTGTAAGTGTTGCCAAGAGGATTGGGAACAGAGGGCGATGGAGTAGGAGTCCTAGGGTCAGCAGCTTCCCGGGGCAGCAGAGCTCCTGCTGCCACGTTTGCTCCCATGGTGCAAAGGCAATAGTGATTTCTGAACAGATGCATTACTGGGGAGAAAAGAAGGGTTTGCTGAGTAGTAACCACATGGTTATTACTTTCTAAGCTCATCCATAGTCCCGATGGTAATGGCTTCTTTGGGGTCAGCTTGCTCCAGCAGACATTAATTTTATGGTGCATTTTACTAATTATTAACCTCCTTATTCTTCTGAGCCAGATTCTTCCATTCCAAATCACCTGCCAAATGACATGGTCCATGCCGCTGTGAGCCATGTGGTCCCATGATGAGACTGATGTTGGTCTACGCCACACCCTGGTGTAATGTCAAAATTTGTTTCATGCTTTTCAGCTACCATTTTGATACATAGGAGCCCATGAATTATGCTTTTGTAGAATGAGTGAATGGGTATTAGTTTTGTGGTAAGTTGCAAAGAACAGAGACAAGTATTGGATCAAGGATAAAAGTAGAAATCACCTTCTGATAGGTATCTTTCTGAGAAAGACAGATATTTTATCAAATTGTAGATTTGTTGCCTCAAATACTACAAAAATAATGCTATTATTTTCGTGTTGCTCCCCTGAAGGTTTCTTCATATCAAATTTGCGAGAGTGATAGCTTTAGTAGAGTAGGGGTTTGTATGTTGTTTCATTCTGTTAGTTGTCGTACGTTTGTCTTCATTATGGATATGTGATTATTATCCTGTAAAAAAAAAAAAATTAACCTCAATTTTAATATATGTTCATTTTCTTTTTTATGCCCCTAGGCAGGGCAGCAAACTCCTGCTAGAGAATGATGCTTAGACAGTTACTAAGATATAACCCAACAGATTTCAGGGTTAAGAGTTATCTATTAAGAGACAGTGAATTATCTCACGTGACATTATTAGTGATGTAATGGCAACCTTTATAATTAATATCTGCCAGAGATGGAGAGAAGATTGTGTTGTTCTGAAAATGCGCTCTGACTGCCCAAGACTGACTGGCAGATTCTGAAAACAAAATGAGTCATTAGTTATGCAGGAGAAAACAACCATATGAGAGGAAAGAGAAAAAAGAGAAATCTAGAGTTACTGTTTTCTGCCTGTGTAGCAGACCCCATGGAGAGAGTTAAGAAACAAGAATTTTTAATGCTGCATGAAAAAGGAGAGAAATGGGATAAGGAAAGCGTTTGGTGTCTGGAAACATAAATAACAGATCTCTGAAATCCGGAGAGGTGTTGTATGTGAAAAAATGAAAGGCCTTTGATGAGGTGGTGACACTAAAAGGGATCTCTGAGGCCTATGCGCTCAGACATCTTGCTGAAGAGGAGGCGTGCCCGGCCGCAGTGGACAGGGAGCAGCTGGCATCCCTCGGCAGCGATCTCCTGGCCAGAGGTCCTGTGCGGAGCAGCTGCCGTAGCCCTGGGACTCCAACCCCTGGTGTGGACAGAGGGCTGGAGATTTTACCAGCAAACATAAGGACTTAATACAAATTTTAAAAACCAGTCAGAAAGCGCGGGGTGATATATTTATTTTTAGAAGGTTATTTTTTTAAAACAGTTTTCTGCTCCTGTGAGAGAGATTCCCTGACTGTGCAACAAAAAGCTGGGAATAAATTCAGCTTTATGTGAAAAGCGTTATCAGATGCACAGAATAATTACACATAAAATTGCCACTTTAATTGACACAAGTCAGCTGGGAGAGGGAGCAAACACTTCTTCGCAGTTTGTGGCGAGGTTCTAGACAGAAAAGCGACCTCGCAAGACGATAGTATCGTTTTAATTGAGACAGACAGAGGTGTTAGGCAAACACATGTTAATTGCCGCAATTGAAATTCAGGGCTCGGTCTGACAAAGCGCTGAGTACGTCCACTCCCTGGAGCCAAAAGGAAGCACCTTGGAGGTTTGGGCTTTTGCCAGAACACGAGGGTTAATTTTGAGTCAACAGTTCAAGTTTCCAGACTGTTCCAGACTGTGTTGGAGCAGCGGCAGCAACGTGAGTGTCGGCTCCGGTTCCAGCTGGGTGCGAGCAATGGGACCGGTGGGTCGGGCTCCTGAGCCCCGAGCACAGTCCAGAGCCCGTGGCCTGGGTGCTGCGGGGAGGCAGGAGAGCAGTCCGAAAGCTGGCTGCTCCCAGGCAGCTGAAGGTGAAGTCTGATGCTGGTTCCTGACAGGGATGTGGGCATGTCTTTCATCCTCCCAGGAGTCGGAGCACGGACTACGTGGGGCTGCCCTCACTACGCACCTTTTCTGTAATGGCATTGGCCAGTTACTCTCAGGAGCGGGGGTCAATACTCTCCTGCACTTGAAAAAGCATAAATACGTATTTTTCCATAGTTTTGTAGCAGCGGGGCTGGATGTGGTGTGCCGCTACTGTCAAAGCCAGGCTGCTGAATAAAATGGAGCATAGTGTCCAAAGGGGTCAAATGGAAACACTGGAGAAGGGGAATATCCCTCCTCCATGGAGTGCAGGGATACTAAAACGCAAGTTGGAGTTCAGGTACCTAAACCCTTTCTTTTGCCCCCAGCGGAGGGCCACCGAGGTCTGCTGGCCTTGCATGATCCCAGCCCGCAGTTTCCCAGCTGCACTCTTCTGCAAAGAACCCTGCAGCTCCCATCTCCATAGGTGGTAAAGCACGAGGCAGAGACGGGGGAGCCTGTGAAATAGAAATGTCCTAAAATTTTGGAGGCAATTGGGAAAAAGAAAAAAGAGAGAGACAGAAATAAGGCCACTACAGTCCTCTGCTTTGATTAAAACAGTTGCTGAGAGAAACTTGACATTTCAGGTTTGAAATAGGTGGTGGCAGAGAAGGTACCTAAGTGAATGTTTTTAACAGCTAACTGTAAGGGGGAAAATATTTTCCCTACTAATATTCAGAGGATCGTTTCAAAAATATCTCCCCTTTGCCCATGGTAAGGATTTGCCAGCAGCTAATTTGAGTGGCATCTGGCGCAGCCTTTCGCCTTGTGCCTGCTGCAGACCTCGCCGGGGAGCGGAAGGAGGGTGTGAAATTTCCCTTCCTCTTTCAGCGTCCCCCTCCGTAACCTTCCCCCCCTCAGCACCCTCTGCCAAACCTCTTCTTCCCCGCCAGGTTTCGCCAGCGGCGCAGCAGATGCAGCCCACG